AGGGAGGGAGGGAGGGAGGGAGGGAGAGAAGGGATCAAGCTGGACCAACTTGTGCCAGAAGCACAACGCCTGAAGGCCAAGTGCAGGAAGGTGAATCCACCCAGGATTTCCTTCAGCCCAAGATGATCGGAGCACAACTCCTTTCTGAGCTGAACAGCCTTTCTGCAGGAAAGTGCTGTAAAAGACAATTATGTCCCCCTTCCGACCTTCATCACCCATGGCTAACAAACTTCTTCAGATCCAAGAGAAATTCCCCAACCTGAGGCCCTCCAGATGGGTTGGACCACCAAGACCATCTCACCAACCAAAGGCCACCTGCTGGGATTGTTGGGCCATGTAGTCCAGCACAGGTGGAGGGCCCCCAGGTTAGGGAGGCTGGTAAGGTGAGACCCTGCTCTGACACATCTCAGATGGGGAGACAGCCAGGGGGATTGAGAACAGACCTCGGAAGAGCCCAGTGGCTGATGGGACCACACGGCCCAACATCCTGCCTCCCCCGCTTCATACACTTGGGTATTGCAGTGGCTTTCACTCAGAAGCCATGTGAAATCCTTGGAAGCTTGTAAGAGTGTGTGGATGGTGCAGGCTGGTTTCCAGAGGCCCAGCCCAGCATCAGCTGAGCAAAGAGCCCACAGACAGGAAGGGGAAACTAGACCACTTCACTTGAAGACCCCATTCCCAGAGAAAGAGCCTTGCTCATAAGGGGCAGGAATTAAAAGGCCCCTTAAAGCACAGACACAGCTCCCCATCCTGTCCTTCGAAGTCTTGGGCTCTGCCTTCTAACCCTGCACCGTACAAAGCCTCAGATGTTGGCCCTCTGAGCCTGGGCTGAGGGTCCTTCCACTTCCCACCACCCAAGGCCCCCTCAGCAGCCTCCCCGCCCCCCGGCCTTTCTCCATCTTCTGTTCCAGGGCTCAATCCTGCTGCCCCAGAGAACATGGGAACAATTCCACTCAGAAAGTCGGCAGGATGCCTGAGGGCGATGTCAGAATGACGTGATCCTGCACATGGCACAATTATGTTACTTGCCCAATCGAAAGCACAATGGTGCCCGTTTCTCTCGTATTGCAACGTTTGGTTCCCGGGTACAAGCGTCCATCCCCACGGGGCCCCTGGATTGGAGGCAGCCTCCCACAGCTATGATTCTGCGGGACTGGTACACCAAGGCCCAATCCAGGGAAGCCCACCAGCTGCTGCCCTGCCTCATCCCCATCTCTCTTGGCCAAACCTACACTGAAGATTTCCATGTAGCATCTGATGAGATCTTCCACCACTTGCCCGGCCTTGTAGTCCTTGCCGTCCGTCTGGAAGAGCGTTGGCCCAAAGACAATAGCCAGGTTGTGGGTGGTCATCTGGTTCTCGTCCGAAAAGCACTGGATGCTGTGAGGGAGCCAACGCATAGCTGTGGAACATGGACCCCATCCTTCTGCCTGCCCAAGAAAGGGCCTACAGGGAAGATGGGGCAAGGAGGACAGCCCTCCTCGCATCCCAGACACAGAACCAGTGCAAAGAACGGTTAAAAGAACTGGGCCTGTTTAGCCTAGAGAAGAGAAGGCCAAGGGGAGACAGGATAGCAGTCTTCTGATACATGAAGGGCTGCCCAGGGAAGAGGATGTGAGTTTATTATGCATGGTGCCCAAGGACAGGACAAGAACCCATGGGTGGAAGCTTTATAGAAGGAGATCCAAACTCGAAATAAGGAGGAATTTCCAAGAGCTCTGAAGCAGTGGAACAGCCTCCCTCCTGAAGTTGTGAGTGCTCCATCAGGAGGTTTTCAAGAAAAGACTGGACAGCCATTTGTCCGGGATGGCCTGAGGATTCCCTCCCCAGACAGGGGTTGGACTTCCAGCCCTGGGATTCTAACCCTCTGAGCACCAGAGGCAGGAGCTGAGCAGCCGAAGTCAAGGGCTGCCCAGCCCATCTCACCCAGGAGAGGCTGACTGCAGCTGCCCACCCCACATGACCACTAACCGGTAGAGATGGTTGATCAGTGCCTTCACCGTGGCTTTGTTGACGGCCGGGAGGCTGTTGAGGAGCCTACGGTAGCGGCTGACCCTTTCGGCAGTGTCCTCTAGGGCTGTCAGGGCAAGAGGAGCACAGGGCAGTGAACAAGGGGGCTGTGTCAAATGGCGTTATAAGATTCCCGCCCCCATCATCCACAGAGATACATTTTTGGAGTCCACCTTCTCACAAAAGTCCACTTGGTCCTTGATCACAAGCGCCCAGCTCTTCCAGGCATGGGAACAGCTCTCCCCGCTAAAGTAGGACAGCCAAGATGCCAAGGTGGTCTGACGCAGTTGCACTGATGGATGGCGACTGGATGCCCCACCTTCATCCCATGCGAAGGGGTTCCTTCCCACAAAGGAGCAGGAGCAGAACGGTAACTGGGAGCAGACACCAGTACCTTGCTAAAGATCTGTGAAGCCTGTGAGCCCTCTCCTTGCTGGGAAGTAACACCAGGGCATGGTCTTTAGCAGCACTGGGCAGAAAGTCTGAATTTTTCTGAGAAGTCTGAACTTTTCAGCTGTAGGATGGTGAATGGCAAACCGGCAGGTGGCGCAAGGGGGACCTGGACATTACCATGTTTCCCAGTTGCTCCTCCACTTTTCAGAGATGTGAAATCATCAAAGTCTTCAGGGGAAGCATTTCTGAATGCTTTCACAAGGGCGGGAGGGTGAAAACAGTCTGCTTACTCAGGTCCTCCCAACCAAATCTGCCAGGGGTGGAACCTGGGGTCACCCAGCAGCCGTTCTGCAAACAGAGCAGGAGAGCTAACGGGATGAGACCTTATTTCTTAAGGGAACCTACAGCTCTAGGACAGAGCTGATCCTTCCCCAAATCTTCAGATAAATGAATGGTTGAGTTGCAAGGGGCCCTGGAGGCTAGGGAATCCACCCACCACCCACCACCCTGCTCAAGGCCGTCACCCAAACTGTAGCTTCCTGCATAAATGTTCATAATACTCAAGGTGGGAACTAACGAAGGCTAAATGTAATAGAATCCTTACTTCTCTGAGGTGGAAATTATATTGCTATGGAAGCAGCCAGTAGTTACACTGGCCTTTTTTGTAGCTGCAGAATGCTCAAGTCCAGGGGGTCTCTTCTGCTGGGGTCCCGAACCAATGGGATCACCCAACAGGGTCAGTTTTAGCCACAGTGACAACATTTGGATAATGGATGGAGTTCAGAGAGGAGCAACAATGACAGGGGGGTCTGCAATAGGAGGTCAACATCTGCAAGAATGATAGGTGTGTTATGATGAGCAAAGACCCCCTTTTATTCTTGTGTGCGCCAATCCTAACCCTGCACCCACCGTCTTCCAGGTTTTTAGCCCTCCTGTGGGAACTTCTGAATGATGAGGATTCTAAAAAACACCGCAAAGATTTTAAAAAAATAGTTGCCCTAAGATTTTGTTGCTGACAAAAGTCTCTTTTTTAATCGCAGTTTTCTAGGACAAGCCAGAAACAAGAGGCATCTCAGGCAACATTTTAAAAGTAAGGGAAGCTCAAGAGGCATGTATGAGATGCAATGGGAACATTTCATGAGCCAACTAGGTAACATCATCAATGTGCACTGATGTTCCCTAGTTGGGTCATGAAACGTCTGCAAGCAAACAACCAAGTTCAGAGAGCACCAAGGACTCCACCGTTCAACCCTGAGCTACAGAGATTGTCTTCTGTTGGAACATGGTGATCCTCGCACTCATCAGCTTAGCCTTTCAAGGAACAAGGGGCTCAGTGAAGCATGTCGTCAGCATGCAAGAAGGCTGAAGAAGTCAACAGCTCAAACTGTGAGGGATCTGGAATTGCCACTCCACAGACACCCTTTACCTGGGACTTTCAGCCAGGCCTGGGCGCAGTCTTTGGTGAAGAGTCCATCTTCAATGTCCCGGAAGAACCGCTTGAGGGTGTTGGCGACATCATCTATCTGGTGATCTTCCTCTTTGAGACGGACCTTGCGGGCATCTTTCCGGAGCATTTCCAGCAGGCTGGTGGTCTTGGAGTTCTGCCCGCTTTTCCGATAGATGCCTTGTGAGGTCAGTCCTGGAGGGGAGGAGGAGGAGATGACGATCTTGGAAAAGCCTGCGTGACAAAGCTAAACACGTTCCACCAACATGAAAAAAACCAGAAGCCCAGAATCTAGGAAAAAGGGGTTCCTGAGTTAGATGGATTCTCTCCTTCTACCCTGGATTTGTTCATAAGAAAAGGAAGGCCAACTCAGGGGGTTTGTGGCTTCAGGTCTGAAGAAGAAGGCTGCTCTTCTTATATGACAATATTCTATGCTATTTCTGAAAACCTAAACCTCCAATATTTCTAAAAAGCCCAGCTGACACATGCAGAAAGATTAATGTTTTTCCTCTGTTTAGCCGTTTCGGATTGCAGGTAAGGACCCCACAAGTGTTCCCTGCCATTCGTGCTCCTGGCCTGCAGCACAGTAGCTTGTCAGGGTTCTGCCTGGGCACACGGCATTTTTGTGGAACATTTTTAATACAGGGACTTCCCTTGGAAAAAAGCATTCTTTTGTATACGGCCAAGAACAGTGTTTCTCAACCTTGGCACCGTTAAGATATGTGGACTTCAACTCCCAGAATTAATTCTGGGAGTTGAAGTCCACATACCTTAAAGTTGCCAAAGTTGAGAAACATTGGCCAAGAATGTATCTAGAAGCAAGGGGTTCCACCCTTCCGGCTTCAGCAGATGGCCTTCAGAGAGAGGGGGCTGGCAACTGGGGTTGCTTCTCCTCTTTCAATCCCACGGAGGTCGAGAAGCCATTCCTAGCCTCCCTTGAGGGAAGCTGATTGAGATGAGCTTCTCACGAGGCTGGAATTCTGATGAGTTGCAAAGAACTGGGTGCCAATCACTGGGCGGCCCCCTTTCTCTCTCCCCAGGCGACTCGCCCCCTGCTTACCGCACTGGGTGATATAATCGATGCATCGGTCCACAATGATGGGAATATCCATCTCCGTGAGCTGTTGCTCCGACAAGGTGTCCCCGGAGCTGCCAGCTGCTTTCTGGATGGCCCCCACCCAACCCATAAAGTCCAGTCTTCTCTCGCCTTGGATGTAGAGCGTTCTGGAAGAAGGAAGCAAGACATGCCCGGGTGGGCTGGGCTGGATTTTGGAAATGCAGAGCCCTCCCTGCTTCTTCCTCCACGTTTTCTCCTGGCCTTCCCCTTCAGCAGAGCTAAGGAGAAGAAGAGCCCACCCCCACCAGGGGCAAAGACTAAAGTCCCTTCCGTGCGAGTCCAACTTGGATGAATTTCTATGAATCCTGGCGAGTTCATAGAATCCTATAGTTCGGGCGCTCGGGGGTCTTCTAGTCCAAGCCGCTGCCCAAAGCAAGATTCATCCTACCATCCTCAGCTTGCAATTCTGTGGACACGAGCTGGGTAGCATTACAAAAGTGCTTTGCCCCTGCCTTCCTTCACTGCCCATCTGGCACCCTGCAGCTGGATTTTGGCCCTGGGATTTTGTGGAGAGGCCCAAGAAAGAGGCGGGGGGGGCAATTTGCAGGAAACAGACAGTTTCACCCTGGAGAGATTTTCACTGTCATTTAATCTTCCACTCTCTGTGTACAGGGAGGTAGCTCAGAAACATTTGGAAAAAAGTAAATAAAACTTATAAAGGCAAAACTAAACCCTTGGTGATAGGCTTTTAAGAGAAACTCAATGGTCCCTGAAAACCTCTTACCTCCTCCTTTCCACCAGGACGAGGACATCATTTTCGAGAGCTGTAAAGCAAATGTAAGCATTAATTGAGAGTGTGATCTGTGAACATTAGTATTTGGAGCGCAAGAGCCCACAGATCTACTCCAGGCAGATCCCATCAAGTTCAATGGGACTTATTCTCAGCTCTGTTCATAGCAGCCTCCCTTAATTTGGTGTGCCCCAGATGGTCCTGACTACAACTTCCGCCCTCCTCAGGCAGAGAGGCCATGGCCCTACTGCCTGTCGAGGATTGGAATTGTAATCTAACACATCTGGAAGGAATCAAGCTGGGGAAGATGGATGTCCAGGGCTGCAGTCAGAACTGCAGTTCTGTCAACTCACGTAAGCGGATTAACTGCGGAAGGACGGATTTCAATCCGTGGCAAAAGAGCGACAGGCAGATTTGTACAGGTGTCTTAGTGTCAAAGAACACAGGAGAGAGAGAAGCAGCAACCACGCTTTGGGTTCCCAGGTGCTTCCTCTGGAATCTCAAAGAGAGACTTGTATCCATGCTGTGACAACTCCTAAACTCGCTTTATGGGTGTGACTGCAGGTCACCTGGTAGAGCAGCGGTGGGGCATGCTAGAAGCACCCAGTGAGGAGGACCGCCCACCCACCATGCCATCGGAGGGCCTGTCCACCGAGGAACCAATCCATCATGACCTCCGTGGTTTAATGGAGTGATGGTCCTGCTGGCAATGCTGTGGCAGGGCCAGGTGTCCTGGCTGAGTTGAAACACTGGTCTCAAAATTGGGGAATTTTGTCTATTTGCCAATTTGGTTCTTCGATCAGTTGAGGCCCCTGGGGCCCTACACATCTGCCTTTGGGAGAAAATGCAAAGGGTTGAAACCGCTGGAGGAAGCAGGCCTGAGATCTCGAAGGAGGATCCCTAGGAAGGGGGGATCTGCACCTGAGGACCCAGCCAGTGCAAGCGGGACCCGTCCAGGATCTCTGGGCAGCGGACGAGCTGTTGCAAGGGACTGAGCTGCCGTCGGAAAGGACACACAGCGAGGAGAAGCATACCAGGGGTCTGGCCTTCCAAAGAGCCCGAGAAAGATTTATTTATGCTGCCCTCTTTCCCTCCTCCTCTCTAGACTGAACGTGGAAGTACCTTAAGTTGCGGTGAGTTAATGCAGCAAAGCAGGGACACCTTTGCAAGTGAACAAGTAAGTTAAGAAACTGTAAAAAACTCCATGTATAGTACAGTATAGGGGTGTGTCTGTGTGTGTATAGAGAGAAAGAGGGAGAATACTGTAAGTTATAGTGGCATGATAAGCTGAAGTGCCAGCATAACAGCAGTAGGCACAAATGATTTCCTGCACCCCTTTGCTTTGGAGGAGTCATGCCACGGGTGTGTCGGTGCGTAAAGTCCCCACTCCTTTCCCTCCGGTGCAACTGAGTCAAGAGCCGTCTTGGGGAAGGGGGGCAAGACCTGGAGTTGCTGGAGGGGCAGCGGAGAGGCCAACAACCTCCTCGTGCCACAGGCCTCCGCCCTGACCACGCCTGCGGGGCATTGCTGCATGGCCGAGGCCGGGGGTTCCCCACCCAGGACCCCCGGCAGCTTCCCGCTCACAGAGCTCCTGCAGCTTCCGCAGCTGGATGACCTCCTCCTTCTCGCTGCCCTCCAGGAAGGCGTAGAGGGTGGACTGCACCAGGGCGAACCAGCCCTCCTTGGCCCGCTCCAGGTTCAGGCCGCCCTTGTAGCGCAGCCGCCCGAGACGCTCAAACTCCTGGTTCAGCAGACCTTCTGCGGCAGGAGGGATGAAAGCCTGGGGGGGAGGGAGACACCAAGGGGCTTAGTCCGAAGGAGTCTCCCAGGAAGCAGGAGGCAGAGAGAGGCTTCTTCCCACAAGGACCCCCCTCCTGGGGTGACCTGTCACCTGGCTCCCCACCAACTTCTCATGCTGCCTCTTTTTCCCTGCTTTGTCAAGGAAACCTTCCCTTCCCTTCCCTTCCCTTCCCTTCCCTTCCCTTCCCTTCCCTTCCCTTCCCTTCCCTTCCCTTCCCTTCCCTTCCCTTCCCTTCCCTTCCCTTCCCTTCCCTTCCCTTCCCTTCCCTTCCCTTCCCTTCCCTTCCCTTCCCTTCCCTTCCCTTCCCTTCCCTTCCCTTCCCTTCCCTTCCCTTCCCTTCCCTTCCCTTCCCTTCCCTTCCCTTCCCTTCCCTTCCCTTCCCTTCCCTTCCCTTCCCTTCCCCCTCTTTTGGGTCACTGCCTTCCTCCTGGTTCTCAAGGATCTGCTTTTCTTCCTCATTTCCAACCATCCACAGCGTCCTTCCCCTGGTGCCCAACAAGGAATTAGCTCTACTCGACCAGCCCTCCTGGTCCGTGTATTTAGAGGGACAGTGAGGGCAGCCACTGTACGGTTAGCTCAATGTGAAGGCAGGGGTTCCACAATCATCATTCAAGATCTCTTTGCTGCAAAACCTAGCCACCTGGTTGAGCTTTGATCGCACTGTTGCAGGTGCTTCTCAGCGTTTTTGACCCTACTCTGTAAAAACCTCTGTTGTCCAGTGTCCTCCAAACCAGAAGCCAGATCTTTGTGGGGTGGGGGGAGCTCCAAAGGAGAACTCCAAAGGAAATGAAATTTTATGATCTCCTTCCAACTGCAGGGGTTCCCAAGGAGGGCACTCACCTTTGCAAGGCATTTGACCCACTCCCTGATGGCCTTGGGGCTGTCCAGGCCAAAGAGGTAGAGTCTCTCCGTCTCAGTGTACATCTCAAAAGTGTTTGCAAACCTGAAGGAAGATACAGGAAGAGTCAGGAAGGAGGCAAGGGTGAGAATGAGTTCCTAGGCAGAGATGGGGGTGCCCAGCATGGCACAGGTCAAGAGGCACCCCTGCCTGTCAAAACATCCCAACGGTGAGATCAAAAGTTCCCTCAGCAAGGGAAGGGACCCTCCCCAGCTGCTTGCCTCCAGCACTGGCCCTCAGCATCCTAGCCCACAGCTGTTTCCTCCAGAGCCAGCCACCCCCAAGGGTCAGGAGCAGGGAGAAGCAGCCATGGACCTCAGCGGGCTGCCCTCCTTTAAACTCCCCCAACAAGAAAATCAGCACAGTGGTTTCGGAGGGCTGGTTTTTCTCACCGGGCAAGAGGTGCTGCAAGACTTTCCACAGGCTCAGGCACCCTTTTTGCCCTCTAAAACCAAAGGGCACTCAAGAGCATTGGCCCTGCCCACTCACTTCCTTCTCTTTGGTCAGTCAGGTGAGTTTCCTTCTCATTCATTTATTATGCAACAGGCAAACCCCTTTCTATTCCAATGGCAAAGCACGCAGCACCCCTTCCCAAGAACAAGGCAGCCCACTTACCCGTGTGTGTCCGGCGGGTTAGTTGCCAAACACACAATTTCCTGCATCCTGATCTCTCCGTTGGGGACGGTGTTGGTGTTGCTCTCGTAGTAGCTGAAGATGCCCTCATGCAACTGGCACCAGCGGCGGCTGAATTCTAAACCCAAAAACCAACAGGGGGACAGTGAAGAAGAAGGCAGAACCAAGGTAGCAAGGGGAGAGTTTGAGCATCTACTTCTGGGATAAAGTTTGGGGCAACGGAAGGAACGGCCTCTTTCAAATTAAGCTAAAATGTCCAAGAGTCTCTGGACTTGGAAAAGGCTTCTCTTGCAGATGTTTTCAGGGGAGTACAAAGTATTGACCCAGAAGAGCAAAGACCTTGACAGCAGTAGGTCTGCTCCATCTCCAAAGTCCATTCTGATTGAGGGCCAAGCATCCAACTTTCACTCTGAATTGGCTTTGCAACTTGATATTGCTAAATTCAACTTTGCACTCACTATGAATGGGGCAGTTGGAAGAACAGATGCAACAGGCTTCTCTGTTGGCTGGGATCACTGTCCTATCTAATCAAGGTAGGCAAAGGCATACTTTGGGGAGAGAGGGGAGGGGAGAAGGGAGGGGAGGGGGAGGGAAGGAGGGAGGGAGATGGCCCCAGAAAGTAAATGGGAGAACATGAATCAAGAAGGTGAATGGCAGATATAGGGGAACCTTCAGGGAACATTTCCCTTCAAAATATTTTTGTTTTAAGAACATTCCACATAAGAACATTCCTTTGTTCCAAATCCTCCTTGTGGCTAACTCAAAACAGTATGGTTGTCAATTTGTGATAGGAGTCTCTCTGGTGCCCACTTCTGCAGCATTTCCTGCAACAAGCCGAAGGCACTGATCTGAACTCACAGACAATCTGGATTTAATAAAACACAGACCAGACTTCTAGGTGACCTTCCATCTCAGGTGGAAGGGAGCTCTCCTGGGAAAGAATTAAAGTTTGTGCCCTGCTGTGCAGCCATCCCGCATTTCTTCCCATGCCAGCCGTCTGAGCAACCCCTACACACATACACACACACACGCGCACACACACAGACACACACACACCATTTCTTCTATTTCTGTTAGTTGCAGGTATCTACATGCATGACTGACACCATATTTCTTAGTGGTTCCTGCAATCTCTCGAAACCCAACATCTTGGAATCACACTGGAGTGTGGAAGCCCTGGGGGTTATACATCTTCCCTTTCTTTTTCTGGGTTTTGTTCGTGCAGACACCCCACCCACTCCCAGGCCTAGAAAAGCCCCTGCCTCCCCACCCCACTGCCCCACGGCTGCTTCACCTCACCTTCCCGGGATTTTCGTTCGTGAACCAGCTTGGCCATGGAGGGAGTTTTGTACAGGAAGCCATTGTGGGCAACGGAGAGCAAGATGACCGAGTAGCACCTGTCAGAATCGGTGCCAGCATCCAGCTGAGGGGTCTCTGAAAACACGAGACACAAGGAAAAGGTTGGCAAATGGACGTCAGGCGGTGGCTGACGCTCCAGGAGACATCTCAGCAGGCAACGGCAGGACCGGCCCCTTCAGAAAGGAGCCCGTCCCTTCTCAGATCACCAGCTGCCCAGGGAAAAGTGGGCAGGACTAGGATGAAAGCCGAATTTGATGTAGTTTAACTTAAATGGAGTGAAACGGCCACAAAGGGGGTGACTCCTCAGTTGTTTTGGAGTTGGTGGCCTAGAAATTGATAAATAAATAACCCGCGATGATTTCTCCCTTCCAACACTTAAAGAATACAATTTGGTGGCAACTGGAATCTCAGTTTTTGAGGTGGGGGTCTGTGTGACCATCAAAAAAAGGCAGGAAAAAGGCCTGGGAATAACATAATAAGTCCAAGATCTTTGACGATGTGGATTCAGAGTCTTTTTCCTTGCCCATTTGATGAAAAAAAAGCCGACTCAGATGCTGACAAACAGCATGAATCAGCCACCCGTTGCTACAAAACTCCTTTCAGCATTGTATAATCCTTCTTTTAGCCAACCCCTTTGCCTGAAAAGTTCATAATTCTTGATATCTCGATAGATTCCAAGCACTGGGGATAGAGCCAAGATGCACATCCTTAACCTACAGCAATTGATTCAGATTTATATTAGCTATCCTTCTAATCTCAGCACCGAAGACAACAACGATGGGTCAAAACCAAACACGTTGAGTAATGGTCCAACTCCTGAGTAACATCCCCAACTCCAGCATAGTTGCATCCAAGCTTTGTTAGGCACTCCTGAGACATCCTAAGCACATAAAACATCTCTTAAAATTCTATTAACCTCAGTTTAAGAATGCAAGGCATTAATTTCCTGGTGTTTAATGCCACCCTCAATTGGTTCACCAGGGTGGAACCTTCAGGGCTGTAATTCGAAGGGTCACATAGGTAACTAATGCCAATTTCACCCACTTCACAGAATGAAAAGCTACTGGATCAGGAGCATCCGGAACATCTAACTGCTGTGGAAAATCAGAAACAAGGATTGGATCTAGGCAAAATGAACCGAATAAGAAATAATTGTGGAATATTCTCCCAGAATCTCTCCGAGCTAAATCAGACTCGCTTGTTAATTCTGCAGAAGTTACATTTGAAATTTGCAATAAGGTAAATGATTATCACCTAACTAAACAAGCCACTGAATTCAGGAAATGAAATGATGCCCTCAAAAACAAAAGAAAAAGAAAGAAGAAAAATGAGTGCTTGGTTACTGCACTAATCGGCTTGGTCAATCCACAGTGGAAACAGCAGAGCCACGTGGTCCTGTGCGCAGCCTGGAAACTCACCCCATCTTCTTGCCTGACATTCATTCATTCATTAAATTTCTAAGCTGCCCAACTCCAGAAATGACTCTTGGGTGGCTTCACAAAAGTAAAAAACAACATCATATGAAAAAGACAACGGTCATCCATAGGAACATCCTAACATTCTTTCACATCACCCCCAACTTAAAGGGGGTCACACTAACTCAGATTTTTAAGGATCACTCAAAGGCAAACAAGGTGGGGCTGCACAAATCTCATGAATTAACTGCCTGCTTCCGCCCGGGAAAGATTTCCATCATGAATGCAATCGCAAAGCCAAAGGTCCAAGCTTAACTTTCTCCAGGACAATCCTCCACTCCAGAGTGACCCACACAGGCTAGAATCAGGTCCCCCAGATGCCTTCTGACCCAGGCACATTTTAAAACAGAAAAGCATTTCTCACTCTAAAATGCACATTTTAATTTTTTTTACAATTCCTGGCTTCATGCATCACATGAAGCCACCTGCTTTTATCACAGTTTGCTGAACAAACTTTTATCACAGTTTGCTGAACAAACGATAACTGGCTGGGCCTCAAGCACATGCCTCAAGCCATAAACCGTGATTTGCGTTAACGAACGACATCATGGCTTAGGACAATGTCTGCCTTTTGAGTGAAGCAAAAGATGGGGCCAGGCAAAACCCTGGAGGGGAAGGTCTCATTTGGATCCCTCACTGCTGTTCAGCAGGCAAGAGAGTGACTGGACCTGCCACAGAAACATGCAGTGTGAGAGGGTGCAGAAAACGAGTAGCCTAACTAAGGTTCTTAGAACTACTCCCTGGCTGAGTTCATACCATGTACTAAAGCCAGGTTCATAAACCTAACTGACCCATGGAATTCACTGCCACAAGATGCGATGATGAACTATTACTTCAAGTGGCTTTCAAAGGGGATGGGATAAATTCATGGAGGACAGGTGCATTTGAGGGTTACTGGTCTTGAAAACTCCACATTATCTCCTGATTCAACACTAGTTTAGTGACCAGAGAACAAAGGCAAAACAGGGCTATATTTCTCATCTCCTGCTTCTGAACATCCCAGAGGCATCTGGGTGGCCACTGTGACATAACAAAATGCTGGACCAAGATGGACCTTGGGCTGATCCAGAAGGGTTGTTCTTAGGTTCTTCAGATGTGGTGATGACCACTCACTTGGATGGCTTTCAAATATGATGGGGCACATTCATGGAGGATGTGAAGGCTCCATATTATCTCTGCCAATCTCAGTCGAGGAAGGGCAGGACTCAGACAGGTTGCCCATCTCACCCCAGAGACATCTGGCTGATCACTGTGACAAGATGGAACTTGGCCTGAACCAGCAAGGCTGTTCTTAAGAGATGATGACGGCCACTAACTTGGATGTCTTTCAAAGGGGACTGGATAAATCCATAGAGGGCAAATCTGTGGAGGGCTATTACTGTTCCCTTGAAGTCTCCATGTGACCTCTGAGCTGGGGGCAGCATGTCTCCAAATGCCAACTGCAGGGGAAAGAAGCACGCCCCGTCTCCTTCCTGTGAACATTAGATGGATCAGATGCAGATGGCAAGTTGCTTCCCAGTCCACTAACAAAACTATTCCTGCTTTTATATCTTGCTAAGGCTGGGCAGCCAAACTAAACAACCACAAGGGCTGGAGGGAGGGGAGGGGAGACAATGAAAACCAGATGTCTTCTAACAAAATACCCCTCCAGGTTTTGCTCGTTCAAAAGCATGTCTGTTTTTTCAGTCAGCCTGTCTCTCTGATCAATGGTTGCTGCTCCTCTGTGAGCAAGACAGATTTGGGCAACTCAGTCCTTCAGCTGCCTCTGAAAATAAAAGGGGTGGGGGGACTTTGAACAGGCTAAGGGGATGGTGGTTGGTCTCATGCAGGAACTGAGGGCAGCTAGCAAGGATCAGCCCAGGAGTTCACCAGCTTCTCAGTGGATCAGAATTCCTGCTTCTGCCATGAAAGTCGATTTATGAACAGAGAAGCTCAGAAATTGGGGGGTGCTCTTATTTGGGGGGTTCTGCTGCATAAGAAGCCCAGGCCCTTCCTTGCCACACTCAAAGTATCTTAACTTCTTGGTGAACCATATTCCTTGCTAGGCCGACAAAGCTTAAGGAACTGCTGTTGCATTTTAGTGACTCACAAAACACCCCAACTATTGTTGCTGGAAGTTTCTCCTGAAATGCTGGGAAACGCCTACACACTCTGCATTGTCTCCTCTCCACATTTCTGTTGTTGGATTCATGCCGGAAAAGAGAGAAAGAGTCACTTCTCAGAATGAAGAGATAAAGATGCTCTCATGTCAAGCTGGGCTCCAGCAACCGAGAACTGCCTTTGGGAGGATTTTTCAACTTCACAGTGTGGTCCACAGCCCTAGGATCTTGTGGTGGTCTCCCATCCAACTATTAATCAGGGTCAAGCTGCTTCCCCATCAGCCAAGGTCAGATAAAGATTGTAAAGAAAGGTAAAAGTCTCCCTTGAGTCCAGCTCCACTCCTGGGGCTGCACAGACAGTTTTCTACCTGCAGAGCCAGCCCTTGCCGTTCCCTGATCTGGATCTGATCTGCTGCTTCTCTTGGGGACACACACAGGAGTAGAACAGCAACATCAATGTTCTTGGGCACACTCCTACATGCACATCTAAACAGCTGGAGCCACTAAAGTCGCTCTTGGATTTCTAGCCTGTTTTGATGTTGGTCCTTCACATCTTTTGCACTTACAAGCTGGTGCCCCCAATCATTTCCCTCCATGCTCCTGGCCTCTTGATTCAGAAAAGCTGATGGCCACCTTCTCCAGTCCCCCTGCCTGTCCCACAACAAACAGGCCACGTTGCTGACCTCCCTTCCAGGTGCACGAACAGATCACTTTCCCCAACTTCAGCTGGTCCCATCCCTTCTGGGGAGCCCAGAAAGGTGATGGCTGATCAAAACAACTGTCTTGGGGGGAGCAGAACCACCAAAGGACCCGAGGCACAAGCTTTTGCAGGAACAGTCCACTTTCAGCAGTCACAAAGAAAAGAGCGTGGAGGCGTCTGAACACGGATCGGAACGAGAGCTAGTATCAAGCGCTGCGTTGTGGCGTGGCTGAGAGGTTGAGCTTCCAGTTCAAGGAGCCTGAAGGGAGGCTGAGACGTGGCTTTCAGCCTCCTTTCAAGCCCCTGCCCTCTTCACCATCCTGCCCGATCTGCCAGTGATCGTAACACGGGTCTGTCCTACAGGGCTGCTGGGTGGATTACGTGATCAAGGCCGTCAGCGATTCTGAGCGTTCCAGGATGGTACAAAGCAGCCCCAGGACCCCCCAGATGAAAGACGCAGGGCCCCAAAGCATGAGAGGGGGAACAGCAGCTGGATCCACTCCCCTCCAGACCCCAGACTATTCCCACCTACATGCAGATTCTGCAGACGTGAAGACCCCGATGCCCCCCCCAAACGGTGGGAAGCTCTTGCCATGGCTGGGTTGAGCTGATAGAAGGATGGATTCTGCCACCGATCAAGTTTATTTTTGTGTTAAAAAGATTATTGATGGTTTTTATATGTCTGCATATTGTTTTTTTAAACTTGTTTTTATTGGATTGTTGTTTTTACCTCTTGTGAGCCACCCAGTCGCTCGGATGAGATGGGCAGCCATACAAATAATAATAATAATAATAATAATAATAATAACAACAACAACAACAACAACACCCCCCGACTTAACAATTGTTGGTAAGCAATATCTTACAATATCTGCAAGAAATACCATTTGCCTGCAAGTAAGAATTGGTGGGGCCGCAAAACAGACAAAGTCATAGGAAAGGAAGAAGCTCGAGCGCTCTGGGACTTTAGAATCCA